TTAGTTTTTACGTATATATATATATATATATATAGACTTGAGTAGTAAATATAATATTAAAACTATTATTGACTTGGATAACAAGTTAGTATTTTCTTTCTATATATATATATATATATATATATACATTTTTTTTTGTTTTTTTAAAGTGGCGAATTAGCTTCAAAGCGGCAAAGATGACATGCAGCAGTCTTGCTACACTTACCATCAATTGCAAGATTCAAAACCCAAAAAAAAGACGCGACTTCTTAAACTTGAAAAATTGAAAAAAAAAAAAACCTTGTACTATAAACCATCCATCAATAGGGCTGCTAATAGTCCAGGCTAGCTTTGGCCCAGAGCCCAACCCAAAATTGTGTGGGATAGGGCCAGTACTGGGTTGAATTATAATATGGTGTCAGAGCTTGACCCATTTGGAGTATAAAATTTAATACAAATTAATACATAACAAATTTCAATAACTAAAACATAAATGGAAATATTTTTTTGTGGCCATGCCAAGAATTCGAGTGGCCCAAAGGCCTTGCCATGCTGATTGAAATAGAAAGCCGGTGGCATGGTTCCAGCTCGTGGGCAATGTCATTAAAACCTGGATTGACTTGGTGAACTCGCCTTTCCTTAAAACCGAGTGAACCATTCTTCCTAGACGGGATTGCAGGCCTTGTCATACTGCTCAAAGCATAAAGCCTACCGGATGGCGAAAGGCCCAACGGCGTCTACATATAGTGTTTGAAAACCTGGACCAGCCAGATGAATCGACTTTTCTGAAATTCGATCTGTATTGGCATACCAATTCTATGGTGTGATAATCAATCCATAAAAATAAAAAATAGCAAAAAAATATAATGTGTGGCAACTTGGTGATTCAGTTAGTAATTTAATACAAATCACCCGATTTCTTGACAGACTTGTCAAGTTCCTTGATGGAACCAAGAGAGTCCATTTGAATGGCCAATCGGTTCTGACAAAAAAACACATCAATTTCTATTCCAAATTGGTGATTCTCAATCTAGGCCACTGCATTTTCAAGACACAAGGATAAACACACAGTCATGAGAGATCAAATTCAACATCACTATTTTCATTATTTTTGTTGTTAGAAATTTTTGAGAAAGTTAATACCAAAAATTTGAGGATTAAAAAAAAAAAGAAAAAAAAAAAGAAAAAAAAGAAAGCTCGATATGTATTGGGCGCAGGACCACATCGTAGGCCTCACGCAGGGGACCACCTAGCCGGGGCCAACTTGGTATTTCTACAAAGAGCTGGACATTTGTAGACCACGAATCGATAAGAATGGTTACGTCTTTTGGGAAAAAGACTAGGGGAAAGATAGTCATTATTCGACTATAAAAGACCAGGAGAGCGTATTTTTACAGGCCCTGCGAATTTGTGGGATCGGAAGGGGGGGTTTGCTCTTGGATTTGGTGGAGGTCTCGCCTCGCTCCATTTTTGCCGAGACCACAAGAATTTTCTCTCTCTAAAGAACCCACCCCGTTTTCTCTCTCTGAAATTGGATCCCTTCGCCTTTACGTCCTGCTTCTCTCTCTAGAAAGGTCAGGGCTGCATTTCTCCCCCCTTTCTTGCAGTATTTCCATTGCAGGCTTTTCGTGCTTTTTGTTGATATTTTTCTCCGTAGATTCTCTCTCTATCTCTCTCTCTCTCTCTCTGTGCTCTTCATGTTTGTAGAGCTACGGTCTTCCTGCCTTTTTGTTGTTGTATTTAGGGTTTGAATCAGGGTTTCAGTGTACGGGAGAAATATTGGTTTACTGGTTTGATCGTGTTGTATTAGTCTCCTTTTCTAGTTTTATGCTTTTTGGGATTTCCTTTTGTGGTAAAAGGAAGGAAAAGATATGGCTGTTTTACCTTAGTTTGCGATTTGGTATATATTCCTGCCTTCACATGTACGTTTTGTTTGAAAGAAGTTAGGGTTTCTTCTTGTGTGGTTATTCAATTTGTCGGACTATCATCTGATATGGGACTAGTGGGATTTATTTGTCTTGTGGATAAGTTCAGGGTTTCTCTGTTATCTTAACTGTCATTTAGGCGTTTAACCTTCATAGCATTGGGTGGAATGTAGTGTTTTCCTGTTGTGTTGAATCCTATATCAGGCATTTGATTTTGAAACTACAGAGTGCTCTAATTGCTAATTTGGGTTTGATCTGGTTTGAAAACCTAGGTCCATCTCTCTCTTTGTATCTCCTTCTCTTTCTGACTTCAATTTTCTGGGTTGTTTCTGTTTTGTTTACGTTTTCTGTAACATTTGGGTGGACTTACCTTTTTTATACTGTGACCATGGGCGCTTATTCTGCCTGTGACTATTGTTTATGGATTCATTTTGTTGCTATTGTTGTTATTCTGCGTTATTATCTCTTTTATTGTGTTTACATACTCTGCCTTGGGTTTTTATGGTATCTGAAATGGTCCTTTTTGCAAAATCATGGTTTTGATTTTAGCTAAAATCATTCAGATGTTTGACTTTTTCATTATTATTTATTTGAATTGTAGTTCATCATTCATGTACTCGATTACTGTTCGAGTCTTTTTTTGTACATTTTTTCTTGTGTTTTGGTTATTCATTTGGTTGAGTACGGTTATTGGTCATTTTGTTTTCTTCTTAACTATGTCATGTGTTTCAATTTGGTTTAATTATTGAGAATTCTTGTAGTCTTGTTGTATGGCATTGTCTTTATTCTGTACTCTGAATTTTTTTTTGATTTTTCCAATTTATATCCAGCTCTTTCAATGGCATCGAAGCGTATTTTGAAGGAACTCAAGGATCTCCAAAAGGATCCCCCGACCTCATGCAGTGCAGGTGCATTAATTTATAACTGCACTCGATCTTCTGTATTATTGATGATTATCATGGCATACATGTCCACCATATGTAATGTGCAGTTCAAGTTACTATATTCTAGTGTCGCTGATTTTTTGTATTCTTCCTAGAAATGCTAATGACTAACATATCATCTCTTCAGTTGAGTTTATTATTGAAATATTTGAGTCAGTGTCATTTTGTAATTCTGATCCCTCTCTTAAAAAATGCAATACTAACCAAGGCATTAATATTTGCTTGGTTTTTTTCATCTGTTTGTCTTGTAAAATGAATGTTGCTTTACATATATGAGTTTTATCATCAGTAGTTGTTGCCAAGTCCATGGAAATGTACAATACTGTTTTTTCTTTGAGTGAGTTTTTTCTTTATTTGGCTTCAATTGATCCTTTTTCTGAGATCTATTTTGACAATCAACCTTGTTGAGTCTATTTCAGTGAGAAAAATAATGATTTCATGTAGGACCCCAATTTTTAAATCATGGATGTAGGTTTATTATTTGCCTGTTGAGGCAGAGTTGCGGTTACTGGCAATTGTCTTTGCTTGAATTGATTTTATGAATAATTTCTTTTTTGGATATGGAAGAACTAGTTTCTTGGCTTGTGATCTTCACTTATGCTCTCTCTGGGGAGTCGGGGTTTGTTTTGGGTATGTCAGGTGCATGTAATAGCCTACCCACCCACCTGCAATAAACTAGCACCTTGGCACATGATGATTCGGTGCATTGAAATGAGGTGAAGTTGTTAAACAAAGAACTCTGCTGTTGCTCATGTGGTGCTTCCAAATAGGTTTTTAGAGTCAACACTTTCTTGGAAACTAAAGGCTTCCCTGCCTCTCCCCCTTTCCCTTCTCCTCCTTTTCTCTCTCATTCTGAGAAACTTTTAAACTGGTAGTGGCCCTCAGGGTATTCAATCTCTTAATCTCCTGCATGTTGCTTTTTTATTTTTGATCTTATGTATATATTTATGACGTGAGTTTTGAGGCCTCAAATGACATCATCATGCAATGGATGTAGAAAATAATATTTTGCATGCTGTGCGAAATTTTCATAGCTTGTCCAGAGATGGGCACATTCTTGCTGGATTAGACGATTTAATGATTTTTCTTGAGGATTTTGGTTATGGAGATTACAGAAATGACTTGGTTTTTCTTGATAAAGGATGGTGGTTGAGATATTGGGCATCCGTACTTGTGGTGACCAATTTGTGTGTGGTTATTTGCCTGAATTCATAAGGGGAAATGAGTGGTTTTGTTTGGCATTACTGTTTGTGCGGACCCAATTCTTTTTTGATAGAAGATTGGTTGTAGTATGGAAAAGGATGGTAACAGAGGAAAGGGAGGACAAGGAATGAATGATCTAATTGTGTGATGGGTAAAGAGGAGAAAAATCTGGAGCAGACACCTTAGTTTTAGATCTTTCTTTTTTCTTTGGAAAATAAAATCTTTCTTGTTTTCATCGGATATTAAAGTGGTAAAACTGTTTGAAGCTTTCATATATCTAATTATAGATTTAAGTCTGACGGGAATAATATTCCACAACTTGTAATTCATTGGTTTTCACACTGATTTTACCATCTATTATTTGATTTATCAACACAGACAAATTTAGTAAGTAATATAACGTTACATTCTGACATAATAGGTGTGGTTATAAGGACAACAGTGATGATGAGAGGCCATATCTTCAGAAAATTGGCTTGAGACAATTAGGATTTAGTCCTGAGAAACCCCCTAATCGGCAAGACAGCCTCCAAATTGCTTCCCGAGGTATGCACAAAAAGGAAATCATGAGGTCTGCATAGATCTTAAAAGGCATACTCGCAACATCCGTGACTATTCAAGGGCAGGTGACACTTTTGGGGCCCATCTCATCACACTGAGTTTTTCCTTTTTCCAATAGTGGGGACCAAACTTGTTGTGCCACCATTCTAACACTTTGCTCTATGTTAGAAACAGAGAAACCTAGTGGCTGAGAAAATCAGAAGATGTCAATATTTTCTTCTTCAATGATCCAGAAAGAGCCCCTCTATGACTAGAGTACCCATATTTGCCCAGCATCATTCAAAATTTAACTTCAGGGGGCCCATGGATGATCTAGTTGATGTCATTCCTTATAGGCTTGTATAGACTGATGGGAATAGAACTACATTCCTCCATCTACTTGATTGGTCCGTTGCTTTATGACCCTTGAAATCTGTGCAAAGTAGTTGCTATGAGTAGCCATTCTTCATATGTTGTCTTTCATGTGTTTAAAGAGGAACCATGATAGATAAAATTTGGTTGTTGCTTTCCTTCCAAATGTTTCGACAAATTGATAAGGAGAATTTGAAATAGTTTTACCTCGCTTGGGAAGAGGAAGAAGGCTCCATCCTTGTATCAATCCAGACACTAATTGAGTTCTTGATCGCCCAGGACCATAGGGTACTGGCTGCCAGGTAATGGATGGAGAGGTGGTCTTCAGAGTCCTCAGATTCCTTGCACATGTTACATCAGTTGGAAATTTACATTTCATGTTACACATCTAACGTGGTTGGAGCATTTTCTTATATGGTGTTATCCTGCATGGACGTAAGGTCTGCTATACGGGCAACTGAAAACCCCATGCTCCTGGATAAGACAATTTGCTTAGTTGTCTGTGACTAGTGGATGTTGTGGGGAGTATGTACGTAAATATAGATTGAACGCTCATATAAGTTATTCAATGGGTCAAGCCTACTCGAGGTGGAACCTGGTTCAGAGATGGAGATTTTTGTTTTCTTTTACTGAATTTTGACGTGAGGGGGTTGCGGGTAGTTCACCTTAGACCCTATAATGTTTCATTCTGGGATGGAGAGCGTAAGTTTTTGTATCATTTGGTTGGAAAAGATTGCATTAAGACTGGCACTTAAAGACCTTTTGCATGGATATGACCATGAGTGTCAGGGCTAGACACGTATATGGGGTGTTGGATTCTTCAAGGACATGGTTGTGTACTCGCTCTGTCTAGACACGCACATGAAGCATGTGGATCTAGTTTCTGAATTCACAGCAAGTTCTCATTTTTTAATTCATTGGAAAAGAGGAAAGTGTGGTGCTCGTTGTTGAATGCATAACGTCAAAAGAAATTTCTATTTTTGTTTTTTAAGGCTTAGCAAAACAAGTGGTACTCATTTTTAAATTAGCAATAAGGGAATTAAATGTGGTGCTTGGTATTGAATGAAAGTAGCCAAGCACAAAAATGAATTTTTACTATTCTGTTATCGAATGCTTAGCTTAAGCAACAACTTCTCTTTTTTGGAATCCCTTTTGGGGTTTACCTTATTATTCCAAGGTGTTGTGTAGGACAGAGAGGTTGAAGCTTTAAAATGAAACATTTGGGTTTCTGTTATTTTTCTGTTGAAGCTTTAAAATGAAACATTGAGGGAGAGTGATTTTTCAGAAATTACAGGATAGAGAGAGGAAGAGAAAAAGTGATAATTGATATCTTTAAAATATTGAGAATTTTGGTATGTTGTGTGTACCCTTTCATGTTTATGGGTTTTATTGTGGGATTTACTAGGGAGAAGAATCCGACTTGTCATGAGGACAAACCAGATATGTTGGATTCACAGTCTTTAGGTTAATGAAGAATCCTTTTCTTGGATTCTTGACCATGAAGAATCCTGGCGGATCCATCACATCTCGAGAAGAATCATGTCAAAGGATAGGAATCTGACATGTTTTCAGGAGAATCATGGTTGTGTTTGGATTCACTAAGCTTAGGATTCTTAACCTTGAAGCCTCCTGCCAAAGCAGCCAAACATATACCTGTACCTTTGTCGGTGAGGCTCCACAGGGGTACATGACTGTTGAAGAATCCATGTAATGTGGTATGTGGACAGGACAATAAAGATGACAGGTTTGTCTTTGACATTGGCTGAATTTTTTTATTTTTATTTTCTATGTGAAGCATTGCCCTTATATTTCATCTGAGGGAGCAGCAAAGGTTTCCTTTTTGGAAAATTTTGTAGAAGTAAGGTTCTTTTGGCCAGGGTGTTTTGGCAATGTAGTTTCACTTCTTTTATTAATAATTTTATAATAGCTGTTTCATTAGGATTTGGGTTTGGGCTTGATTTGATAAGACCTTGACTATCGCAACACTAAGTTCAAACCCCACCGCCAAACTACCCCTTGAAAGATGGGTTGCTTCATTTTGTGGTTGGTGCTTAAAATGGGTTATATAAGTATATGTAGGATTACATAACACTTAGTTTTCTCACCTTTTGTGTTTGTGAACTATTATTATTTTAGAATTGTTTTGGAGGGATCTATTGTTATTTAAGTATCAGTCTGGAGGTGCTTTTAGATGGTTATGATGAGCATTTGTTTTTACTTTTCGATTTAGTTGTTATTGCGAACGTGTATATCTTCAGGGAGAAGGTTTATTTTTGAAACATGTCAGGAGATTTGATTGCTTCTAAATTGTTAGCATGGATTGATCTACTTTTTTCAATTTTGAGCATTAGTTTATAATCATCAAGACCTGAGTTTGCACTTTGGAAGTGTTTCTATTCATGTGGTATCATCCTATGGTTTGGAAAGGATATAATCAATTGGGTAATGATGATTGAATTGATCGCTATGCATGTGGAGAGGGAGACCCATGATTGTCTCATGTCTTGTCCTCCTCCTCCTTGATTTGGTATATCAGTGTCCTTCCATCATTTAAATGGATGGTTACGACAAAATGGACTATGGGTCTCATAATCCATTCTATAGAACACTTCTCCTTCAGATTCGTCTTTTTGAGTACTGCAGCCTTTCTTTCAACTTGATTTTGTGTGTTGATTTTATTGCCATTGTATTCATCAGCATTTTTACCCTGCAAAAGGACTGCAGTAAAATTTCCTTGCTGCTTTCTGCAGGTCCTGTTGCTGAAGATATGTTCCACTGGCAAGCAACTATAATGGGGCCCCAGGATAGTCCGTACGCAGGGGGTGTATTTCTTGTTACCATTCATTTCCCTCCAGATTATCCCTTCAAGCCACCTAAGGTAAAATGTTTCCTCTATTTACTGGAGTTTTTTGGTTCGAGCTTGCGTCATTTATCTTCTTTAAACAGGGAAGTACATAAATAGTCCTATGGACTATGGATCGATTGATGGATCCTTATTTGACCGATGAAATGATGAACAGTGATGGAGAAACAGCAGTATGCCCATTAGGTCATGTTGTCAGATGGCAATGACATCTGTCCACTGTCATTCCTCCTAAGATAACATTGGTAGATTCTTTTGGTCAACTTCTCTAGGTTTAGTGAACTTTCCCTGTATGGTCAAATATTTTGCTCTTGTTTGAAAGATTCTGTGGACTTGCTGATGCTTGTCCTCTACATATTTGCCCTTTTTGTTCTTATGACTGCAGTACTTTCATAGTTTTGTTCTGTGACTTATCTTTCCCAGTTTGATTGAATTTTCTGCCTTTTTTTGTTTGTTTGTCTGTTTGTTTTTTTAATTTTTTAATTTTTTAATTTTTTTGTGTTTTCATGATTGAATCCTTTTCAAAATGGCTATTTGTTCATATTCTTGCTCGTGGTCTTGGTCTTTGCAACTAATAATTTCTCAGTGTTCTCGACATCTTTCCGTTTGTTCTTATGATTGCACACTTACACGAGAGAGAGAGAGATTCAATTAGAAGGTATGCTTCCATGCTGTCAAATAAAGTTGCGACCTGCAAATAAAATGAGTTCGAGACTTGCTTTATGCACATGCAATAGTATCCCTTTTGTCTGTTTTCTTTTCTGATAAGTTTGGGGTTTGAGGGCTGGTCATTTTTTTTAGTGTCTCTATTTGGTTTTAATTTTTCGAAGGGTCTGCAATTTTCATTTGGAGTATTGACTCTAGAAGCATCATGTGTCTAATATGTGGCCAGTGTGTCCAAAGTGGCCACTTGGGAAAGGAAGAGAGGTTATATTTTTATCTGATATTTAAGAAGAAAAGGGGTTATATTTGTCGTCCTTTATATGGGTTCTTTTGCAGTTACGACTTATCGGATCTCTTCTGGATCTTTGTGGGGAGAGAGCTGGAGTAATAATTCCAAACTCCCCAAAATTTTCTATGATTTGTTTGACAAGGACTTTGGGCTCTTAAAACTTATTGGAGTTCCAAACAATATTACAATAAGTCACTCGTGTATTTCACTAGCAAAAAGAGGACTCTTAACTAATCAAGGTAGCTTTCTGTGGGATCACCATGAGGACCCTTAAAGTTCAAGAGATCTTTGAATGTGGTAAGATAGTGGAGCATGATTATCTTTGGAGGCTTGGTAACAGCATGAGATATGTGATATTTTTGGCAGTAGATATTTGTTTCCATGATCCAATCCTGTGTCCATGCTGGCCATTTCCACTTTCAGTTCTAACTGAAATAATTGGGACTGACTCCAGGTTTTGAAACCACAACTTAATCTTTCTATGGTTATGGATTCTTTTAGATGAAGTAAATGGTTCTCCTTAGATGAAAGAACGAATTCTGGATATTGAGTTAGTTTGTAACCTGTGTTGTTTCTCATGCATTTCTTACTATAATTAGAGCTTTAGATGTTTTTCTTTTCGTAGAAGTTCTTTGGTGAGTCCGCGGACTCTTTGTCTGCCCTGGCTTTCAAGGGGTTTAGGATGCAAAAACACTCAAAGTTACTCGAAATCCATTTCCAACTCAGATCCTTGAATTTGTAGTCCCAAAAATAGTGCAGATCTGATGATCTTTGAAGAATTGAGATGAATGGTCCAGAAATGGATAATTTTTAGAGGCTCAAAATTCATTTCTTTTTTGCATATTCATGATCGTGGTGGACGTGATGACAAATCTGTAAAATTTTGGATCCAAAATCCATGATACATGTCCATGATGATTTTTGGAGGACTTACTAGAATGGGGTTCCTGGACGTGCCGAAACCCTACTTTCTTGTAGTCATACAATAAGACTATGTTTCCGTAATTCATGTGCCTTAAAATCTTCATTGTTTTGGCTGACGCATTCATACAAGTCGAAATATTTATTATGTTTTTGTTTTTTCAATTATCTAGGTTGCTTTTAGGACCAAGGTTTTCCATCCAAACATTAACAGCAACGGAAGCATTTGCCTTGACATCTTAAAAGAACAGTGGAGCCCTGCTCTCACCATCTCCAAGGTTTGGTCCACTTTGAATAACTTTCCGAATTTCTTTTGGTGTCATTATGTGAATGCTGATTTTTTTGACTTGTTTAATCTATTTGCACATATAAGCTACTTTGAAACTGATCAGAAGTACTTATTTATTGGATGTTTCAGTCATGCTTGTTTTGGTTATAGTTGTTTGTGGCACACTGAGCTTGACCAATTTGAGCTCCAATGGTTATGAGTTGATATTGATGATGATGTGTTTTTTGTTAACACAAGGGCACAATTAAATTACCTGAAATGCGAACTACATGTACACTTGGTTTATTGTGGGAATTTGAGTTATGTGCAAGAAAGTACATGGTGAGGGATATGCAATGGGTAATTAGCCCTTGTAAATTTCCCAATCGTTATTGGATCCGATTTCCAAATGGACATCATTCTAACCTACCACTCCCAACTAATTCTCATTCCCAAGCTCCCTTGAAAACTATGGCATTAGAGTGCCGTGATTAAAAAGATGGACTCATATATATATATATATATATATGACTTGTGTGGTTCTCAATTCCGACTGTTGAGTTTTAACCACTGCAGTAATCTATTGTGCCCCTGCCCATGGAATTAGGACCATGGAGTATATTGGATGTTGGATAAAATAATGCAGAAGTGTATGGTGACTTATGTTAAATTTGGAGTTGAATTTATATTAAATCACAACGAAGTGATGCACAATGAGACCATTTACCTTCGGCACAAGGAGATCACTATTACTTACAACCATCCGATGTGAAATCTGGTAGCTTGGGTGTATCACAAAGTTCAAGAAAATTTCTTTTGAGCTTTGAGTTTTGTCAATGGAATCAATACAGCTATCCAACTTCACATACAATAGTTAAGATTAATTGTGACCACCTTGTACCGGATATAAATGGTCTCATGGTAGACTTTTCCATATGGTAAACATAGTTATATGTGATGGTGTGGTTTGTATAAGGATGCGATGCTCTACAACACTCATTTTAGTTGAAGGTGTAGATGTGACTTTCTTCTGAGGCTATAAAAAAAGGGGCATATCATTAAGAACAACGTTAAATCTACACCGTTTAAACAAAGTGGATGGTCTAAAATTAATGCAGCCTTATTTCTACAAATAAAGTTGCATCCTTATATGAACTTTACTTTTCCAATAATGTAATGCATGTACCCTATACTTGTAATGAGTTGAATTTATAAGTATGACACACATAGGTATACACATTATAAGTATCACGTACTTGTCTTTCCATGAAATGTTGAAATTTTGTACATCAAGATGCAACGACGTAGACTCACGTACGCACATGCACAAATGTTGAAATTCTCACGTACGCACATGCACAAATGTACATTGTTGTGAAGCCCTAGTTGGTTTACATTTTGTTTGCTTTTTCATTTTAGCTGAGTTGTGGTTGACCCTTTTTTGGTCAATGGAAACATGGCTTACACAGGTTTTGCTCTCCATCTGTTCTCTGCTTACCGACCCGAACCCAGATGACCCTCTTGTGCCTGAGATTGCGCATATGTACAAGACTGACCGCAACAAGTACGAGACAACTGCGAGGAGCTGGACTCAGAAGTATGCCATGGGGTAAAAAATAAGCATGAAAACTGATAAATTTAGTAAAAGAAGAATCTGGGGAAAAGATGGTGGTTTCCATTAGTATGGTGAAGGACATTGGTGTGTTTCTTGTTACTTTCTGATTTTCCGTAAAGACCCCACGCAGAAAAAGAGTAAAAGGAAAGAGAATGGATGCTTTTGATACGGTGGCTGGATAGCAAAGTTATGTACTTGTGGGTGCTTTTTCATTTTCGGGTTGTTTCTCGTTTTTCGCTTCAGTATGAAAACCTTCCGTTTTCTCTGACTGTTTACATCATGCGCTATGTTGCTTCCCATTGGTGGCTGTGTGTGTGTGTGAGAGAGAGAGAGAGGGGGGTGGGGGGATGGATTTGAATAAAAGAATTTATTGAGCGATGGATTTGAATAGAGGAATTTATTTGAAAGATGGGTTTGAATAGAGGAATTTATTAAGATACCTGTAAGAGATGGAAGTATTTTCCACCCCATTTGCAATTATACCTGGTATCTTGGTATCTTTAAATTCAATCAAAGAATCTGGGTAGGGTGATTAATTCAATAAATTTCTCATTTAATTGACACTGCAAGGGGGAGAGGGATGCAATGAGGATTTGAAATGTGAAGGGGCACAGCTAGGATATGCCAGTATGTAACATGGTGCTCCAGAGAGAGAGAGAGAGAGAGAGAGAGTCTGGCACGATTGCAAGGAGAGGATTTGAAATATGGTACTCGATAATGAACATGGGACATTAATGAAGCACACTGCCTTGGCGGGTTTTGTAATACTTACTCCAAGGAGAGAGACAGGAATGTTGCATTGCAATGCGAGGATTTGAAATATTGTACTCCAATGTGTGCAAGAGAAAATTTGGATACGATACTGATACTCACTGGGCTACCTTACTAATACTCGCTGGGCGAGCTTTATGTACGCCCTCTAACGTTTGAGCTTTTATACTTTCCCTATCCAAACGTCCATTCTGAATGGATATTTGAGATGGCCTCAATCTTAATGTCATGTGTCTACATTATTTTATTTTTATTTTTATTTTATTTTATAAAATGGTTTAATACTAAAATTTGGGCATCCACTTCTCTCTGAAACTCTCATTTGTAAAAAAATGAAAAAAAAAAATTCAATAAAATAAAGTGATCAAAATGTCCTAAAAATTTTTGGGGTAATTTGGTCATTTTATTTTATCCAAAGTATTTTTTAATATTTTTTTTTAGATGTGCTCTATTGAGACGATCATATGTATCAAATTTCATGTTTATATAATTTGTAGAAAAAAAGTAAAAATGAAATAAGTTGATGCATTTTATTTAAGATCAAACGGTCTTGATCAAAATTGGATGGTTGGTTGGGGGCAGTATATCTTTCATACATGAGAAATATAGAAACTTTTTCAATTAAAAGAGGGAAAAAGTTTATATAAGGTGTCAACCTTATATTAGTTGGAAAAAACAAAAAAAAAAGTGCTCAATAAAAAAAAAAAAGAAAAAGTGTTCAATAAAAAAAAAAAAGTGATCAATATAAAAAAAAAAAGTGCTCAATTAAAAAAGGTGTCAACCTTATATTGTACAAATAAGGTGCAACTCAAAACGTAGAGGAAAATATTGATTTGTTATTAGAAAATCTTCCAATTCGATATATATGAATATGAAAGAAAAGATTAATTTTAAGTATTAATAATAGTATATTGTCTAATACATAATCTAGACCATCCATTATCAAGTTATTTGAGGGTCATAGATTTGTTAGATCTACACTATTTTTAGAGCTTTCAATTTCATAATAGAGATGAAAAAAACATTTTAAGGTGCTCATAAGAGTTTGACACCTAAAATAAATCTTATAATGAGATTTTGAAGTGTACCTTACCGTGATTGTTTAAGGATTTCACCGTATTCAAACCTCACCCTTAAAAAAGAGGGAGAGATAAGTTTTGGATATGTTATTCCAATCATATGAGTGAGAGTAGTATCATTACTGCAAGAGAGAGAGGGAGAGAAAGTCATGGATTTGTTACTCACATTATGACTACACTGGAATATGGCATTCCAATGTGTGCGTTTCCCTGAAAAGAGAGAGAGAGAGAGAGAGAGAGAGAGAGAGAGAGAGAGAGAGAGAGATAGTAGTTAGTAGACGAAGACGTACGTACGTATACGTACTACTTTATTTACTTTGTTGTTAGTACGTTATTACGTTCGTTACGTTAGTAGTTAGTT